TATTTATAGACCACTTCTATGACTTTAATGGCCACTCATCTGTAAATAGGATGCCAGTGCATAGAAGAACACAAATGCTCTTATTTTGTATTTTAGAATTTTCACTATGATTGCTGCAGCTTCATGTTTTATAGAGAGCATTTAAGCGATAGACTTTAATTTCATCTGTCAAATATAAAATTTTGAGGCTCATTTTCAAACTTAATTAAAAGGGCAGTTAACTGGGCATCATCTACAGTATATAAAAAATCAAAGATACACCTGTTAACAGCTGTGAAATTGTAATTGCACTGCAGTTTAAGCAGAAGAATAATAAGAACTTATTTTTGTACTAAAAATGCTTCCTGATAATCCTATATAAACCTACAGAAGAAATGTATGAGTGAAGGTATCAAAAAATGCTTTCTGATTTAATGATATGACAGTTAAAAGGTGTTCCCAAATAGGGTTTGTAAGCAAAACACTAAATACTCTCAGGGGAGCTGTCTGGGTACTCTCAAAGATGCTAAACAGGAAAACTGATTACCTTGGCACCTCTTAACTGGATAATAGCGGTAAAAGAGAAATGAAGCAAGTTACCAAGTGAGCATTACATTAATTCTGTTAAGACTGCAGCTGCTTTCTAAATAAGTAATAAAACATTCACTGCTTTCAAAACACAAATAAGCACCAAACAAATGATATCCCCCCCACACACAGACACATTTTGATTTCTATACTGATCAATTGTATTTCTAGCCATCCCTTATTAAAATGACATTTATTTCTGTTTAGGGCTTAAGAAACCCAGATCTTATCCAAGAACCTTAGAGTCAAGGTGATTTTACACCCTAGATAGATGGCATGCCAGTCATCAAATTTGTTCAAGCTTTTTTAATGCTACATAAGGTTTTATCCCACAGTAAAGAGATAGTAGGAATATACAGTATTGCTCACTTCACAGTGGGATATGTGCAATAAGTACCTTATGGTATTGAGGTTTTTCAGTGTATTTTGTTTGTTACAAATAATTCTTCAAGTCAACAAAACTGCTCACAAAGCTGCCCACTGTCCTCTTTTTGCCTAAATGCTCAACTGAATCAAAGAAAAATCAATTGATAAATTCATATTAGCAAGACCAAAAGGAAAAGAAATATGTTTACCTGTTTACAAATACATACTGTACTGTACATACACACTAAAGGAAATGTGTGTTTCCCATGGTGCCAAATGTCATTATTGAAATGATCCATATCAAAAGTATGGAAGCACTATGAAAAGGGAGGTTGGGGAAGAACATTGTTACTTTTTCTTTACTACTATTCCTCTATTCAAAACTATATATGAATACTTGATATCAGTACCTACAGTATAAAAGGAAGGCAGATTTGTCCACAGCCTTTGTCACCCTTATGAAACATCCTCATCAATGTCTCTAATATATTTTTGAAGAGGAGACAACTGTTCAAGGTTTAAAGATCTTAGATAATCTAGGGATTATTATTATATACTGTATAGGAACAAATAATAGGTTTATTCCATGCTGAAAAAAAGAAGAAAGAAAACACGTTTCGGCCGTGAAGCCTTCTTCAGGTGTGAGGTTCCTTCTCTTCTTCCCTCACACCTGAAGAAGGCTCCTCGGCCGAAACGTTGTGTTTTCTTTCTTCTTTTTTTCAGCATGGAATAAACCTATTACTTGTTCCTTTGCAGCCTACGCATGCTGACGCAGCTACCCACCTGAATTATTATATATAGACAACAATGTGAGCTCACAACACACAAAATATGTGCTCTGTATATTTTCAGCACTGTGCAGGTACTGACACTTGGGAATTACCAGAAAAGCAATCCACGCTGTGCCCTGCAAGAATGCACTCAGTACTAATACTCTGCACAGCAGTCATTAACTGCTTGATAATTTATTAAGTGCCTCAACTTCCAGATTTGTACGCTTGTTTGTATACTGCCTATTCAATGTTTAGTCAGAAAATAAGGATTAAAACATTATAATAGCCATGTTTAAAGGTAAACAATATGTATATTGCATCTACTTATGCCTTCATGCTTTCATTTCTAATTCAGATGTAATGCAATTATATGACGAATGTGAACAGATCTGAAATGTTTAACATCAATTTACTTACAATTAACAATTTATTTTGTATGCCTTTACAATATAGTATTTTTTAATATTATTTGATGTGGACATAGTACTGAAAAAGGATTCTGATAGAAAACTCTTATATCTCATATTTTGTTTTTGAGGTTCAGGATCATTCAATAAATAAAAAAAAAACATTTGTTGACACAGCAAACACACCTTATCACCTTATCAACATCACAAAAGCAATACTAAATAGAATAACTATTACTCATATTAAAAACAAGATGTAATGTTCATACTATATGTATCCAATAAAACAGCTACTGCACATTACACTGTAATACATGTACCACATATGAAACACTATGATGTTTTATATTTAACATTTAAATAATAATATTATAAGAACTATGTAATTTCTAATTTTCTTTAAAGACATCTTGAGACCAATTACATTGTCTTCCCATAATCAGAGCTAATAATCAGTATTAATAATGCACGTTTCCAGTGTATCTTTCCACACTCATTTGCTTCAAGGCAGAATGAGAACTAAGATTAAAATTCATCTGAGTGCCATGTTCTGTTTGGTTTATCCTTGTAGAGTTGAATGACTTTGAATCAACACTAAGACTTGCTGAAGATTTTCAATTCAAATATTCAAATTCCTAAAAGGTTACACCAAAGGGATTACTTCATGTTCAGCATTGAAACAACACAGATGTACAAGTGGAAATTAAGTGGAGACGTATTTAAGACAACAAATGCAAGATACTTCAAGACAGAATCACGGATACTGTATATAAAAGACACTGCCCTGCCAAGTCGTTGATGCAGATACTCTTGAAACCTTTAATACTTATCTTCATTACGGCTCAGAAAAACTTCATGTACAGTACTGTATGATAGTCCTGGGAGATATTTTTTACTATCATTTCTAGCTAGTATCTTTGTACTTGTAGTAAAGTACATAGTACCATACAATTTCATGAGCGTTCCTACTCTGATGTAATGTACAGTAGCACGAAGTATCAAACAATTTGTTTAGAATTACATTTTGAAATTATGCTAAGATCAAGGATATAAAACATTAATACTGATCACCCATCACAGAGAGTAAATCTGGAAGGTGTAACCCCATCCCCCTTGTGAGAATTAGGTTAAGATGAGACTAAAAAGATTTTGGAATTAATTTGTTTCCATTAACCAAACAAGACAAGATTTGAACGTACGTCATATAAAGGTAAAGATTGATTATGTTTATAAAGTATATAGAAGACAATGGCTTTCAGAAGAAATATTACATATGGAAAAAAGTTAAAACCATAATAAAAAAAAGACGTTATTGAACAATATTTAAGTACGTTTATACTGTATCTGTGAAATATTTTGTCCTACATACAAGTTTTGAAGGATTTCTAAGATTATGTCAAAGTGAATACTATTTCTGAAACTCCTGACAGGTACTTTCTTATTGTTGATTCATGAAAAATCAGAAGCAAAGTAAAGACATTCTGCAGATGTTGCCCAATACCAAAGAGCTTGATGTAGTTTTTAAGAATTATTTTCCTACTGACAGTTCTTTCAAACTTTTAATTTAGGGACACAATATTTTGAAAATCAAACAATGTTTAAAAAGAACACCTTGAAACAAAAATACCTTTTATCATCTTATTTTTTAAAGGTAATTTTACCCTACTAACAAAACTGACAATAAAATGACATTTTAATTTGAGCTCTTCTCTTATCGTCTGTTACTGATGTAATGGAATTAGTTGTTAAGTGGACTAGGTGCTACAGTACCTGTTACTGATAATGTGTCTTTTTTACATTATGAGTCATTAAAATTATTATGAGAATTCAGTTCGAAATGAAAGATATAAAAAAGGTACAAAAAATAAAGGTATTATCTTAAAAAGAAAAATCTCAAAGAAATGAATAAAACTTATTCCACTGAACTAGAAATGATTCTAATGCACTTCTTTCCAGCATGTAGTCCTCTGAGTAAAGTACAGATCTGTAAGTGCAACGGCAACATCTTTGTCAGTGTTTCTTACCAAGGTCCATTAAATACAACATTCTCTGCATGAATAAAACAGATAACACCAGTGATCATCAAAAATGACCAATTCTACCTATACTGTATTTTGAAAGCTTGATTTGAATCATTTTCACTTAATCATCTTAATTTTAGCATCCATTCTATTTCCAAGTCCGATTTGCATGATAAATGTTCAAGGGAATTCTATCCCTTAAATCAATAGATGATCTGTTAAATAAACATAACACACTGTGTATTTAGATGCAGTGTTACTAAATATTGCTGTCAGCACATAAGAAATTATGAATTCATAACTACATGACTAAAAAGGCCAAGAGTATACTTGATCAAAACCCATCTGAATAGACAGTCATGCACCTGAACCTTAGATTGAACTTACTAACCTCCATTTGCAAATATAATTTAGCAACAGCTTTGATAAATTATACAGGGGATGTGTTTGGCTTCCAGAATGAGGACTTTGGGTGGAGAAGTGTTTGTTAATGTAATTGGATTTCATTTATTGTATTACACGTGCATGCCTCAAAACCATCAAATCATGGGTGTGTGTTTCCATTTAAACATCTGTTTGAATACTGAATAAAGTTAATTCTGCATCATTAAGTGCTTTCTGCTAGGGAGTAATACAGGTAGGTACTAAAATATATTTTAGATTATACATATTTTTAGGAAATAAACTGCTTATTTATTAGTTTGAAGTACTGTACAGTATGTATTGGTTGGTTTATTTGTAAAAAAAAATTACCGTTCTTACAACGTATTACCTTATCTTTGTATTCAATTGCAGAGAATAAAGATTCCTGTGAAATACTACTTTTTTATTTTTTGTTCTGTTCTTAGATTTACCATTACGCTTACCTGGTTCTCAAGTGCTTGCCTTTGTTTGTTTCTTCTATTCCTATTTCTTTGTTCTTCAAGTCAAAGGTCTGATCAATCCAAAAACAGTAAAAATTCCAATTCTTTGTTGTTGTCTTCCCTAGGATGTAGAAAATCACAGTGTAGAAAATCACCATCCTGTAATACGATACAGCAATTACTGCATAGTACTGCACTTACAGTATACTGTATGTACTGTATACTGTGACATATTAGCCCAATTCAGATTTAGAATTTGAAAGTGATATCTTACTGATATATATATATAATGAAGAATAATCATACATTCTAGAATCCGTACCTGGTCTAGAATCAGGTACACCATGATCTACATGGAAATTAGAATTACAGCTGGACACCTGGAGGCAATCACTTTGTTGTCAGAAAAAAAAAAAGGCGTTTATTGAACATGCTGAATGGACACAAAATAAGAATGACACCCTACCAATTGTCTCTGCGGTGATACCGTAACAATGCTTACTTTTCATACGTTAATCGCAATATTTGGCTACAATTCAATAGAAAGTACTGTACCTATGAATATTTAAAACGTAGCCTTCTAGTTCTTTTGTGAAAACACATTTTCCCTACGTACATAAATAATCCATTCAAACTGTTTATGGACACACCGCAAAAAACATTCTCCTTTTTCATAATTTGTTTATAATAAGCAGAATGAAAATATACAGAACCAATAAAAACTGTGAAAGTACAATACCTTATTCTTCGCAATTGTAACATTTAATTGAACTCCTGGCTAACAAATAGAACCTTGTGAATAAAGTTTTAAATTTGCTCGTTGATTTATAATTAGCAAACTTTTAAGCACAGACGCGTAAACACCTAATTTAGAAGACAATTAATTGGAAACTCTGATTCGTTTTATGCACTGTCCTACGCTGAAAAATTGTGTTCAGTTGTTTTTGTTAATAAACTACATTCTAAATATAGAATAAAAACACTGAAATACTTGGGCTTGTTTCCTTGCAATCGGCTAGGTTAAAAAAATACGTTTTTTTTCTTAGTCTTTTAACATTTTAGCTTTAAATCATACATGAAATTTACATAAATATACATTGACAGAATTGCTTTGTCGAAAGTACTTCCCCTGTAATACTTTAAGTATGCTATATGAAATGAGTATATGTATATCATTTTAATGTTAACATTAAAGATTTTCAGGACGGTAATTAATTTGGGAAGCTCAAGTTATTGTTATCCCACGACTAACATTCAGGTTGTCCAAAGTGCAATAGTCATAGGTCATAGACCTCTAAGGAACTGAATGACAAGTGAATAAAGCTTTGGTGGTCTCAGCGTGGGAAGAAGATTGTAAAACATCCCAGGAAACACCGAAACAACAAACGCATTATGGTAGTCAAGAGAAAAGACTTATACGGACTTTGCCATCGCATTATAATCAAGTAATTCACGTTTTGTAATGTTTGAATAAAAAATGAGTAGCTAATATGTGATTGGCAGTAGAAATACTTTAAGAATCACAATACACAACCTTATTCCTGCGAAACCATCCCTGTCCCTTAAAGATTATATAACATGCGAGATAAGTTCCCACCTTTACGAACGATAACGGTATTGCCAATTTCGTTATTTTGGGAGAAATACTGTAAAGAATAACTGTACATTTTAGCAGTTCGCTCTGTCAGGGTTTTCTAATCATGTAACTGTAAACGTGTTTCATTCCCTTCTTCGTTGTTTAGCCCTGGGGAAATAATGTACAGTACATCGTACAATTCTCTGTTCATCTTTTTTCTTCTGCTTCTACCACTTTCTTCAAGAAATGGCATTCATTCATCTAAACTTTTCATTCGGCACTTGCATCAGTTGAGCGAGGTTAACGCAGCTTTTTATTTATTCCACGTGCTTTTATAAAGATTCTTAATTAGTTTAGAAATAACTATTCCACGTTAGGATGATTCGATGCAAATACCAAACTTGGTTCACATTCTCTCATCTTCTAAGCCTGCGCACATAACATTTTCTTATCTGCACAACTCTTCTGTATTCTAACCCTTCATTTTTCTCATGCAATACAGTTTCTTCTTTTAACATAGTTCAGTTTCATTATTTGTCGTAACTTGCCTTTGCTTCTTCTTTTTATCCACAAGCCTGATTTGTTCCTCCTGTCAGTTCTTTTATTCTGGGTACTGGGTACCACCGATTTGCTTAGTTAGGCAGTCCCTTCCAGATCCTTTTCGAGTGGCAGCGTATTTAAGTCAGAGCTCTGCTAGCCTTCGCGAAAGCTTTCGTGGAGGGAGTGGAAGGAGAAAAACACCCAGATCTGAATAGGCTACTGCTCCTTTCCAAAGGATGCTTCTGTCTCCTAGCAACAGCAATCAATCTTGCTGGATATCTATTTTTTCATTGGATAAGGAGAAAAGTTGCTCTTTCTCCTCCCACAATCAAATAGGGGGCAAATACGTTTCACAGAAGTCTGCCAGAGCTTACTATTAACAAGTAAAGCAAAGACGCTTCTCATTCGCTCCAGTTGAAGTGGATGCTGAAGAAAAACAAATATTCAGAGCCACTCACGCACACAAGATTTCAAAGCTGTTTGACTTAAATTATTAAGCATTGCAAAGACATAAAGTAAGCCATCAAAACTTTTATGTTGTTATATGAAACTGAAATTGTAAATATTACACTCTTGTTAATGAAAATAAGTACCATGAATACAAATTGAGATGGATGCTCTCTAGAGTATTACTTATTTTTAGCTATTAAAGATATGCATAGTTTACTGATGTATCTTCTAACATATACATTGAATGAATATATTTATTATTTACAATATTTCTGTCACAGTTCCTTAAATTTTTAAATGTCCAAACTGAATGTTTTGCACAAGGATGCATTTGAAATTCTAACTCTTATATTTTAGCTTTTTATTGAAACTCTGAGTTCACGCAATCACAATACAGTCCTGTAAACCTAACCTAAGTCATCTTTACTAGTAAACGTATTAAAAGATAATTTATAATATCTATTTAGTCTAATGTCAGTAGCATTGTCACTTTAAACTATTGCAAATAGCAGGTTTCTGCCTTGTTGTCCCAATTTGATTCTGAATTATCTGGTAATATATAGTTAGAAAAATTAAATGAACCTAGATTGATGTGGTCATGTGCATTATTAAAACACAAACCTTTAGAAGCTTGCCTAAATATTGTATCAGCTGTTCTCTGACTATATACATCACCTAGCCAAACAGGAGAAAAAAATGATTTTCAATAATTGTCTTATCTTCTGTCTATCTAATTTATCTATGTGGATTGCTGGCATTGAAGTTTACATGTGACCTTCTCATTTGGCATTTTAATAGGAAAGAATTCAATTAATCAAACAATCTGTATAGATAATATCAAAATAATCTGTGTATTTTGTAGACAGAAATAGTGTGGAGGAACATAATGATATCCTTCACTCTTGATGTTTGGTTTATTTGTAATTGTTTCATCCCATTGAAATGGAATTTCAGTATTTATGAAAAAAGAATTCAAGGCCACTCTTAACAAGTGCTTACTCTCTTATTTTTTAGTCAAAAAGGTTTGGTTTTTGATATAATTTCTATGGACAGCACTGCATAGTATGTGTTGTAATTGATCAAATGACATAACAATTTGTTAAAATGGAAATCAAAATATAGTATAATTTTCAATAACATTTTAAACTGTTATGAGTCAGAAAATATATGTGAAAATCAGTGTAAAATACTGTACATCTTCATTTTTTATTGAAGTCCATTCAGGTAATATAAATACATTTAGGTAAAATACAATTCAGAATCACAACTAAGTTCTGATAATATACAAGTAAAGATAACAACATACAAAATAATCTCAGTATTTTAAACCAAAATCGTTTACACCTGTGATTTTAATACATTCTTTTTACGTTCTGGATATTTTATAACTGTGTTATCTACTTACTTTTTAGGCTTTGGATTTTCTCAGGAAATTCTCCTTTCTTGTGGCCTCATTTCCACCTAATCGGTGAATGTTCTCTGTGTTTCTGTTTTTTGAATGGATGTGAGCTCTCAATGTGATGTCATGTCTTTTCTGTGCAAAGCTCACATTCAGATGTAAGCATTTTAAGTCTGCCATTCTCCAATGAATAGTCTGTGTGACTAAAACAAGAAAGTCCATGCATGGCTAAGTATGTGAATAGCAAAAGCTTCCTATGCAATTTGCGAAATGAGAACTGTAATTTGCCTAAGAGAAATCAGAAACAGATTTTTTTGTAACATGTTTTTGTACTGTTAAAATGAGAAAACGTTTGTCAACAGCACCAATACTGATAAAAAAAGTGCAAGGGACTTACAATGGCTCTTTGCCAAGATGGTAGTTTAATTAAGAGGTTATCACAATCAGTAAAGATTTTCTAATAAATACTAAGTTTAAATTCAGTTTCAGTAATTATTTCCTATCTACACTATTACGCAAGCTACGAAGAAGTGTGACATCTTGACAGTAGAGCCTGATATCCCCTCCTCCAAAACTGACAGGAAGAAATCCAAGAAGCAGCTTATTACCTTACAAGCTGCAACTACAGGTACCACACTTTCCTGTGATGAATCAGGGAGGGAACTACTGTGGCTGTCTAACAGAGACTGATAGCTGCTGGTTTTAATTGTGGCTTGGGAGTTCTCTGAAAACTAATCTCTTAACTGATGTCAAAGTTCACTATCACTATCCAGTCTCAACATTGGCAGTTATAAAAGAAGATTGTAGCTGCTCTGTCATCTGACGACAAAGAAAGTAGTTGCATGGATATAGGTAGGTCAGGCAGGTGGTGCAGTGGCAAAACCATGACATTGTAAGATAATCATAGAAGGAGCCAGCTCTTTCTGGCCAGATTTTGAAGTACAGAAGATGATGATTTAATTTGTGCTTTCATTTTAGCCTCCTGGAGAGTGCCGAGGCAGAAAATCCTATTAAGTGTTTACAAATAGATCTTCACTGGCCACCACTAGATCCAGACACTGAATCTGTGAGAGTGGAAAAGATTTACAAGTATTATGGCTCAAGTAGTTGGAGGGAGTGGTCTTGCACCTTTATCTTTGAAGTTCATTACTATTCTGATCAGCATCTCATCCCTCAGGTGGTCAGAACATTAGATACACAATCTTGTCATGATGAAGCTCCACTCTTATTCTTTCTGGATTCTCCCATTTAAGAAAAATAAACTTGTAATAAAGTGCTTCCTTTTTTACCATAACCAAGTAAAGTCACTGACCACCTTTTGCTTAACTGTTAGATAGTTGAGTTGACAGAGCACAGTGTTATGGTAACTTTTATGACCAAGCAGTGAACACGTTAGACCTCTTTCTAGCATTTCATCTGAAGAACGGTACTTCGTAAAGCACATTATCCCCAATCACCCCACTGGGGAACTGGGCCCAACACCACTTACAGCAGCAGTCTGGTTTTCCTTGTACTCCTATTTCAGGACTGACTAGTCCCAGCCCTACTTTATTTCTGAGACATGACAAGATCAGGCTACTCTGTTGTAATGCTGCTATCTGGTACTAATTAGACAACATAGAATAGGGGTCAGCAACCTTTCAGAAGGGGCACGCCAAGAGTTGCATGCACTTGTTTTTACTCTTTTGATAATTTTTAATGTCAATAATAGCCCTACTTAAATTTTGACTGCTAACAATTTCATATCAAAATATAGATATCTAAAATGAATAATAATTATTTTATGGTTTTTAAAGCACTGCGGATATGTTTTATCGCTATGATATTGTGTTTTTAAATTTCTTTTGAATTGCAAATAAAAAATAAAAAGGAAAAGCAATGTCATTCCTTTATTAAAAAAGATGTTTGTGTAACCAGGATTTTGTTAAATTGTTCGAATATATTGCCAGATATTATTACATTCTACACACATTTTACAGATGTGTACTGTATACATGCTCCGTGGCAATAACGCGGGGGCGTGTTCAGTGTGGAAGCTGAGCCCTGGATTAAGGGCAACGCATTGCCTTAATAACCACAGCTGCCCTGGCTAATTAAGGACGATCCACAGGTGCGGGGGGCCTCAGAGCAACCAAACGCCCGTAAGGCGAAAACATTCCAGCGATAGTCCCGGAGGGGATTGTGGAGAGAGCGTTAAGGCCGGGTTTTCGCTGCCTTGTATTTTCTCGCTGTGAGGATGCACTGTGGCAGGTTGAGTTTTCTTTTGTTTTGGCCTCGTTCTCTTTTTCTTCCAGTCTGGATCCCGCTAAAAAATGAAAATTCAGCCTGGACGCTGAATTCCAAACGGTGCATTTTTTTCGTTTTCCTTTTATTGGCTTTTTTCCTGTATTTGTTGACCTCACACCGGCAAACACAGCCTCCGCCTCCCCTGCCGTGTTGCTGACTTTTACCGCTGTTCTCCGTAGCTCCTCCTACTCCTGGACCGATATACTGTAGTACGTATGTTGATTTAACAAATAACACTCCATTTGTGTAGCACGACATCCACGAAGTAACGCATATGTTGTTGAAGTTTTGTCACGGGACAGGACAGGAGGGGGTTTTAAAGGTCTTAAAGAATGTTGTTTGTGTTTTCACATATTAAAGAAATGCTTCGCTGATTAATAAGAAATTGCACATGAAACTACTCGCTTCTCTCCTAATGATATCTGTAACATTAGTAAACTATTAATTCAAAAGGAATTGTAAGTAATCTTAAACTTTTTTCTATCAATATTAAACGTTTTGCCGTGTATAGTTACTGCTGAGAGTGGAAATGAGGCCTGCACTTGTTTCAGAATGTAAAAGTGCACTTGTGATGAGGGTTTTTCTCATGTGTATAGGGTGCCTCTCTTCAGTGGCACCAATAGTCAACACTAGAGGTCTTTATATAGTCTATTCACAGAGAAAATGCATGTTGCTCCAGTTACCTTGATATGGAATAGAAACCTGGACAAGGAGGATAGGTCGGAATTCAAATTAAGGGATATTAAATTTTGGAACTTCCTGTGGTTCCTTTTGCTGTAAAGCACATCTCATGAATCAAAGGAAGTCCACAGTTATTACAAATGGTTTTGCATAATAGCTAGTAGCCATGTTACCCCACTGAAGCTAAAGAGGTGTGAGCCTGGTCAGTATTTGGATGGGAGACCTCCTGGGAAAAACCAAGGCTGGTGCTGGAAGAGGTGTTAGTGGGGCCAGCAGGGGGTGCACATTGCTTGCTTTGACTGGAGTGTTCAGAAAAGTGCTACTGTATATACTGTAAGTATAAGGAATTGTAGCAAGCCTGTGCACATGTTACACATAAAATCTGAATCTTTAGGCATAAGGTTTTAATGTGGTGCATCTCAAACATGAATTTACTTAATATTATAACTCGGGTTTTGTTATGATGAAAATTAAACTTTACAAATTCCTCTCTACCTAATAACCTCTTCAAGATTAAAGGTGCCATCTGTTCTCCTTAAAGGCCTTTTAATTTTTTTTGTCATTTACATATATAACCTAAGGTTGTGGGGATTTTTTTCTACAAACTGCATATAAGACCCCTGTGTCCTGAAATATGAATATATTTTAGACATTTATGTTCAAGTTGTTGTTAAGGAATGTGCATGTTTATCTGTAGTCCCAAAAGAGGAAAAACATCAGACAGAACAAGTACAATGAGGGGAAGCTTAGCAGGATTGTTTTATGATGAATGTCTGAAGTGTTACATGTATGCTGTTTCCATGGTAATGTGTCTTTACTGTATGTCATTTAAACCAATAATCACCCAGCTACAGTACCTGCAGTATTTGAGTTATAGCAAAGTAGAAATCTACAACAGTTAAGTTAACAGTACTGTAACTGTAATATTTTTTCCCCAATTAATTTAATGGCTGATAATATTTCTGATTCTTTTTTCCAGTTTCGCAAGTAATGTCCCATTTAATGCAATTTGTATTTCAGGTCATTTACAATACCATTATATAGTGCGTTTACACTGGCACATTACATAAAAACATTCTGAATATGGTTTCTTTTTTTAACTGAATGTAATGTTTTTTTCAAGGCCATTCAACAAATGAAAACCGGATATATTCTGAAATATCAGTATGTCTTGTGTTAAAGTTGGACCATGATGAATACCATTATTATGTCACCAAGGTTATTTGCCAGAGATTTGCTACCCCTCTGAGTGGTAGGCAAGAGCAACCATTTATTAAAAAAATAGTTTACTTGACATGGAAAAAATGACACGGAAAATAAATAATTCACCCACTGACCCTCACAAACTGGAAACGCAAAAACTTTCATTCAACTTCTCCTCCTTTCTCCTGTTTCCAGCCTTACCTCACCACATGCAGACCAGCAGGATTTAATAGTAAATTGTATATTCATCCATCAACTATTAGACTCTCAAAGAAGGGACAACTGACCTCTTATCTGCATCCTTCCTTGTGTTCTTATTCTTGGTAAGGTTTATGGCAACTCAGAGCTCATCCTAGAAGGTGGAATTTTTTTTTTTATAGGAAGTGGGAGAAGACGGCGGTCTTTCAAATTTTGAGCATGAATGGCTTGCATTTTTAACTTTATGTATTAAAAGCATGCAATATTTAAATAGCAGCTAAAGCTCGAAACCTGATCTGCTAGAGGTGTACTTGTGTTTTGGCTTTGTTGCCATTCATTTTTATTAGGTTAATTCTTTTATTTTCCACAGTGCCAGAAGTAAGTCCTCTCCTCTGAGGCATTTTGTTTACAGGGGCTATTTTGCTTCAGCTCACAACTTCACTTTCTTTCTTACCATCCTATATGCTGTGTTTACAATCCAGCCCACTCATAAGCAAAAAGGAGCCCTCTCCAGCTATACACTATTGAAATGTTGGCTGGCAGGATAATGGGTCCTTTGTGCTTTGTAGCTAGTGTGTAAGCAAAAGCGACCAGCTCCATCCTGTCAGGGACAGCGACACTTAGAACAATTTCTTTTGTACTCTTGTACCCTCCAATGGGCTAACCACATACAGCGGAAGGCTAAAGGATCTAAAT